TATAGATATTATAAGATATTATCGGATTTAATTAATATTAGAAAAATAAAATGTTTCTCAACAGATTGACAAATTCTTATTTTTGATCATGAAATATAGGATGATGTAAATAACGATTTGATTGCTTGAATAATTGTGCAAAATGAAGCAATTTTAATACAATTATTTACAAATTATGCAGTTTCTATTACAACTGTTACAAAGGCCATTACAAATCTCGCTTGGATTATTATGGTCTTAATTTCGTACAATGAGTAGTTATTTTTGGATACCATAATATAATTGTAATGTGACTTGTAAAATAAAATTGCATACTATCTGATGGAATTTTAAATCAGTATTAGAAATAAAATATTTAATATAATAAATTGTTAGTATTATTAATAATTAGTCTCTGGAAATGTTAATAGATATGCTAAAACATATGAAACAATGTTTCTTTCAATTTGCACGAAATATTGCATTAATCGTAATACTCATGATACAAGAACATCTACATAAGAGGAATATTAAAGAAATATAATAGGTACTGTTTTAAATTTACAGAAACAACATTTGCAAATGCAAATGTATATTGCATTTATTTCACTTTTTCATTTTATTAAAATTTGAATTATTTCATAAATAATAAGTCCTCTTTTCTACTAGATCGATATTTTAATTTGCATAAGAGCTAGCTGAAAACTAGTATAACTGCTGAAATTATGGAAAGTGTTATTTTTTTCAAGAGTATTAATGTCAATGTAATTTATATTCTTTCACATTACAACACATTTATAAGACGTTTAATACCCTGACACGAAGCAACAGTTCTTAAGTTAATTCTGTTAAGAAATCGTCATGGAGAAAATTCGAACGGCTATATCACCACTTTTGACCGTGTTGTGCTTATGCGGATTTGGAGTGTTTGAATATCCCCAAAATCAACCGAGATTTTATCTCACCATTTTTTACATTCTGATATCGTGGCTATCTTACGCCTACATCGTCTTCAAAACGAAACTATTTCTTCAGAGGAACGAACTTGATTATCCCATGTTTAATCACACTAATATGGTTTTTGCAATACTATACATGTTATTCAACTTTTATTATAATAAGGTATGATAATTCAACTTAATCTTGTAAGTATCGATAAGGTAAGGTTTAATTCTTTTTCATATGTTTTTATACGGATACATTGAAGAAGAAATATTGAAAAATTATATCATTATGTTATGTGGACTATCTATTACTACACTATTTTTGGAAGTAATGCAAATTCATTTTGAAAAAGTCACATGAATGCAATACTTCCAAAAATAAATTTATAACATTTTAAATAATAATATAAAATATAATACAGAATGGCCACAAATGTATAAGCTCATATTTAAAATATATATTGACAAGTATTTAGTTTGCTTGTAATATACTTTCAGAAATTTAAAAATTGTTTGGACAAAATAGATATTGTAAACAACACATTGGAGAAGCTTGGGACACCAAAGAACTATGTAAAATTGCGGATACAAATTATATGGTTAATCACTGGGTGGACTATTTCGATGTTTGTAATAGATTTAAACGATTATTTGTGGTACGGTAAAAAACTTTCTAAATTTTTCTCCATAATGACTATATGTATACCACCTATTGGAAATCATACATTTTATATCAACACGCTGTACGATTTTATGTACATGACACTGCTAAGGTTTGTAAATAATGTCGTAATGTAATAAATATTGTATTGTATAATAAGTGTAAATTTGTTTCTTGAATAACGTTCTTAATAGATTACAATATCATGACAAATTGTAGCAAATCGTGTAGACAGATTTTATCATATAATAATTTTATTCCGTAAATTAATTTTGCATCGCATTTAATGCAGATATGTAGGATCTCAATTTGAGCACGTTAACAAGTATATTGAAGAGATAGCAGAACAGAAGAAACAAAGAGTAAGATATGCCTGGACTACTTCTACTGCACCCCTGATTCGTCAACACAGAGCTGACATTGAAATATCAAAACAAAATATATGGATTTTGATGTAAGCATATAGCAGAAAGTATTAAATATATTATAGCAGTTCTCAAACTGTATGTCAATAATAAATTAAAATTTTACTAAAGAAGATGTTTATTATAAAATTATTATGTATGTTTGAACACATACATAAACATTGTCATTTGTTAAATAAAATTGTTTATAAAACTATAATAAGCTACAAAAACTTTATAACATTAATTTTTTTAGTAAAGACTTTATAATAAAAGTCTGAGAGCTGCGGACATATAAAGTAAAAATAAATATATTATAGTTTATTATGAACTTTATTCAATGATCCAACAATATCGTCAGGTACATTTCACAGGCATATTCATCTCGAATTATGTTCGATATCATGTCAATTAAATATGATATTTGGATTGCAAATGGTGATGCAAGCGATTGCATTTCACGTTTTTACAGTGCAAATTATTTATGAATCTTATATCATAATGATGATGTTATATGACAACTTCACATACGAAAAACTTATGGATTGTTTCGGTATTTATTTCTGGATCATAATCAATACCATAAAAATGATTGTCCTTAATTACATCTGCGAGAGAGTTTGTATTAAGGTACATACAGTTACAAAAATATATATGTTACACACAATAAAATTATAAATTACTATTTTTGTCACGTGTATTAGTAATTTACGCGTTTTCATGTATGCTTATAAAAAAAATTATTTTCTTTTTCTTCTTTTACTTATATTGTATAAAACATTATATTATTCAAAATGTTAAAATTTATTTGAAAAATAATAAATATTTTCTATACCTACATGTAATTTATATTTTTATCTAAATATTTAAGTATAGCTGTTAATTATATTTCAGGCAAATACAACAGAAAAATTTTTGAACAAATTAACAAATCTTACTTTCGATATCGAAACTCAGGAAACTGTAAGCGATTTTTATATAAATGTACATTTGCATAAAATTAAATGTTTTTAATTACATAATTATTTACAGCTTATGCAGTTTCTATTTAAAATATTAAGGAAACCATTAAAAATCTCTGGATTTGGACTTTTTTATTTCGGTTTTAAATTCCTTCTTGAGGTTTGTATTTTTCTTTAGATATGTGATAAATTTTAGATTTATAAATTGACTTAAACATGTCAGAGATAAAATCTTTTTACTATAAAATATTTTTGTTAAATATGATACTAATATACATCATCTTTTCTAGTGTGCAAGTTTCATTGCAATGATCATCGTATTTGTGATACAATCACCCCCACGAGGAGACAGTTCTATAGGTGCTGAAATGAGAAAAAATGTTTAAACATTGCTTATATTAATTCGTTTCATTAAACCTTTATTAAAATCAAACTTTGTTAGTTTTGATACTAATTAGAAAAATATGTCATTTATTAGACGGTAATTTTTTTACATACATATATGTTATCATATTAATAATTTAAATTAAAGAGTATAAGATATAAAATATAGATGTTAAGAGTAACATCAATACACTATTATTTCAATACACTATTTGTACAAACCCCCCCCCCCCCCGCGCGCGCGCATGCACACACATATACATGCACTATATTTCTCAACATTCTTATTTTAATAAAAATGTTAAAAACAATAAATTCTTATTAAGAATGCATTCGCTTTACATCAATATATGTCCTTAGACCTATTTAAATAACTCATGGTATGTATTTAACAGAGATCGATAATTCCAATGTGCATTAGTGCTGCAAAGACAATTACGAAAATTTACTGTCGTTGTAGTCATACCCAGTCAACAGGAAAAGCATAGTTCGTAATTTCAACGATACCTGACATGACCAAGAGCATTCAAACTATTCTATCACCTCTGCTAATAATCACTTACGTGCTTGGTTTAAGAATTGTCGAGTTTCCAGCAGGTCGTTCCAGACCATGGCTCAGTCTTTTATACATACTGTTATTGTGGTTAACTTACTATTATTTCCTATATTCCACTGCAACGTTTTATATGAATCTTTATTCTCTCATACACCATATTTGCCATTGGCTGAACAGTTCCATAATATTTTTATCAATTATAAATGGAATATATCACGACAAGGTAGGGTAATTTAATTTCTTTTATTTACTAAATAAATCTTATCTTAATTGTATTTAAATAATTTTAATTGCAAAGTAAATCATTATGTGATAAATGAATCTTTTTGATTGGTTGATACATAAATCTTACTATTTATTGTAATACAAAAACTATTATAAAAATAGTTCTAAAAATATCTCGTATGTTAAGATTATATAAGTTATTAGCTCCTTTTTGGTGATAATATAGTACACTACATTTAATATAGTAATACTAGAATTCTAATATTACTTAATACAATATAAAAAAACCTTTCAAAAAAAATAATTATATATATATCTTGTGCTCCATTCTTGTGTACAGAAATTTAGGCATTGTCTGAAGAAGCTTACCATTATAGACGTTACGTTAGAAAAATTGGGAACAACAATAAATTATCAACAACTGTATACGAAAACAATATGGCTTGTTCTAGGATGGATTGTAACAGCCATATTAATAAATTGTGTGCATGTGTTATACGTATACTATCAGCATAATTTAGATATTCCAAGAATTATTTGCATCTCCATGTTGATAAACTATTGTTCTCATATTAATGTTATCGACGATTTAACCATTACAAGTATACTTGGGTTGGCATTTTATATACATATATTTATATTAGTATTACTATAGTAAAATTTTATGTGTGCAATACGTATATGTGCAATAAGAGAAAAGTCCCCCATTACGAGATAGACTCCTAAGATGAGATAGCGAGGTTTCTATTAAATTAATAGACATCATCTGTTGAATCCACCATGAATTTATTGCCCTTGGAGTGAAATCTGTTTAGTGGGAAATTTATTGTTAGATTGTGTAATCGTTGCGAAAAAAGATTTGTAATTAAATTTGAGTGTTGAAAACCCTCTATCTAATATTAAAAACCTATCTCATAATAGAGGACTTTCCTCTACAATACTCTACATATATGTATGTATAAAACATAAATTCAGAAAAATCATTATGCTATAATACATAAAAAATCAGATCTTTTAAAACTTTTTGAGAACTTTCCTTACAATACATGTTTATATGTACATAATAATAATCATCACAGTTACTTAATATTTTCTGTACATATACATAGATATATAGGATTAAAGTTTGACCAAATTAACGAACATCTTCAAAATTTGACAAACACTAACAAACAACCAATGAAACAAGCTTGGGAAAATACTTTGTTGGATTCGCCTCGATGCATACTTCTAAAAACTCCTAGAAATAAACAAACGATATGGACCATAATGTAAGTAAATTCTAATGAGTTTACTCTATAATAAGATCGAATAGCAAGAATTAAAATATCATCTTTATGCAGGCAACTTCATTTAGAATTATGTAGAATATCCCGTGAAATAGATTCGATATTTGGAATGCAAATGACTTACAAAATGGGATGTTATTTTGGCTTTATGGCAATTAACCTTTATGAACTTTTTAATGTGATATTTATCAAGAATTATGTTATAAATAATAGCAATATATTCACTTGTATTCAGATAATTTGGTTTTCCCATAATGTTTTAAAACTCCTTCTCGTTAATTATATATGTGAAAAAGTCAGCACAAAGGTATCAAACTTTTTTAGCTGAATTATTTTTAATAAGTGTACACACGCATGTGCGCACGCAAAAATACACACACACCCACGCAAACTATAGAATAACATTACATAAATATTACATTCCTAAATTAAAAATAGTTTTAATTTATTTTGGCTCTTTCAGGCGAGTGCAACGAAAACTTTTGCAAATAGAATATTATATTCTATGTGTGATGTTGAAATCAGTCAAAATGTAAGTTTTAATATAAATTTTATATTACTAAAATAAACATAGGTTTTAATTCGAAAACAGAAAGCTACTACTAGTTTGACGATCTGTATTTTTTTTCTAATGTATAACAGATATCGCAATTATTACTACAAATAAATCAATCGCCACTCAGATTCTACGGACTTGGCCTATTTCAATTTGGATTCAAATTTCTCCAGGGGGTATGTTTTCTTCACTAAATAATAAATCCATTATTAATATCTAAAAAGATAATTTATCTTTCAGTTTACTACATCTGTTACAACAGTTGTTGTTATATTAATACAAGCGCATACAAATAAATAAATATTTTTAAGAGATATAATATATTTTAAACGAGCATGTCTTGTCTGTATTCAATATAATACTCCAGTTAATGCAATGCAAAACATGTTCAATAAGCATCGGTATATAATCTGTATGTATATTATGTATACAATACACAAGATAAATATATTAGAAATATAAATATATTACAATATTTATGTATTTCCTACTTTACATGACTGTATTTATTTTAAGTAAAAACAAAGGGATATCCATCATCCGTCCAGTTTAAACAGTGATGCATAAATTGTAGTAGACTGATTACTTTAATATCCATAAGTACCTAATCGACATAATAAAGATCCGCTATCGTTACCATTCACTTACGACTTCTACAACCAACTAGTCAATAAAAGTATAGTTTGAAATAGAAATGTGTGCAACGACCAAAAGTATTCGAAAAATTTTGAAGCCATTTCTAATAATCAGTTATGTGTTTGGTTTAAGACTTGCCAATTTATCTAGTCATGCAAAATTATGTCTTAGTGTTCTGTACATGCTGCTAGTTTGGTGTATGTACTATTTCCTCTCAAGAACTACCATAATGTCTGTGTTTTTTGAACGTCGTTCCATCGGGCAGCACGTTTGCTGTGCACTAGAAATCCTCACAACTTTATTGTCAATTGTATTGGGTATATACCATGATAAGGTAAGAATATATAAAAATATGTAGTTACTAATAAGAAGAAATTTTATATACAGGGTGGG